ATGTTGCACAGGGCCTGGAAAGACTGTGGAGAGCAGCCAGGAGCCAGCCCAGAGCTGCCCAGGCCCCTCTGCAGCTCTGGCCATGTCCATTGACATCTGGCCCCCACGGTGCTCCCCGAGCCCCTGCAGTGCCACAGTTGTCTGAGGCAGGAGGGGATCCCAGCATGCAATGGAAATGGTTCCCATCTCTGTTTGCTTTTAGATGGGGGTGCTGGGAATTCTTTTTTCAGCAGTTTGGTTGGAGGTGGCTTGGACTCCTTGGGATCTCCTGCAGGTAATTCTCAATGTGTGCTCAAAGAATAATAATTGACCACATGGCAAGAACCAGGTGACAGAATCTTCTCTGGCTGTTGAGTTACAGGAGTGTCTGCAGGGAGGACTTTTCCAGCTCCTGGGCTGGTTCCTCTGCGCAAAGCCAGCTCACATCGTAGGGGTGAGTAGTCTGTCCCTGCTGACCTCACAGGCTGAGCTCTGGTTTTCTGTAATCCATTTATGTCAAATGGAACTGCTTCCCCTTCAGGTCCTCCAAGAGGCAGGAATCAACCTCCAGGAGACAAACCATCTCAGGAGGCACTGGAACTTCTGGACCAAATGCTGAGTGCATTGCAGAGACGGAGAGGTGGGTCTCTTTCCCTCATCCTAAGCCATGAGACTCATCAGCCGGGGGCTTTAGATCCACATGTGGACAAGCAGTGTCTGCACAGCGGGAAGGGATCCATCGCAGCCTCGCTGCCCCGCTGCTGCTTTCACGGCCCCAAGGTCCCTCCCACTGCAGCTGCTCCCGGAGCTGGCCCTGAGTCTGGAGAGGCCCAAGGCACCAGAGCAGCCCAGAGCAGGATCCCTCCCGCCAGCCGAGGGCCGGAGCGCTCCCTGGCTCCCACCCTGGGCAGGGGCTCACGTGTCTCCTGAGAGGGCCTGACTCCGTCCCCTTGGGCTGTGGGAGCTGTCCCGGGGCAGGGAAGGATGGGGCTGGCACTGCCTGCTGCAGTTTTTCCCCAGGGCTTTAGCCAGGGTTTCCTGGGTGCGGGAGAGAGCCCTGAGGGGCCCTTGGCTGCTCCAGCTGCTCCCCCAGGGATGTTGCACAGGGATGGGAAGAGTGCAGAGCAGCCAGGAGCCAGCCCAGAGCTGCCCAGGCCCCTCTGCAACTCTGGCCATGTCCATTGACATCTGGCCCCCACGGTGCTCCCCAAGCCCCTGCAGTGCCACAGTTCTCTGAGGCAGGAGGGGATCCCAGCATGCAATGGAAATGGTTCCCATCTCTGTTGGCTTCTAGATGAGAACACTGGGAATGCTTCTCCAACAGCTTGGATGGAAGATGCTTTGAGTGCCTTGAGGTCACCTCCAGGTAATTCTCAATGTGTGCTCAAAGAAAAATAGTTGACCACATGGCAAGAGCCAGGTGACAGAATCTTCTCTGACTGTTGAGTTACAGGGGTGTCTGCAGGGAGGAATTTTCCAGCTCCTGGGCTGGTTGCTCCACGGTGGTCCAGCTCCCATGGCAGGGGTGAGTAGTCTGTCCCTACTGACCTCACAGGCTGAGCTCTGGTTTTCTCTAATCCGTTCATGTCAAATGGAACTGCTTCCCCTTCAGGTCCTCCAAGAGGCAGGAATCAACCTCCAGGAGACAAACCATCTCAGGAGGCACTGGAACTTCTGGACCAAATGCTGAATGAACTGGAGAGACAGAGAGGTGGGTCTGTTTTCTCATCCTGAGCCGTGAGACTCCTCAGCCGGGGGCTTTAGATCCACG